AATTAGCTAAACCGACTGTTTCGCTAGAGGACTTGATTTGATATGGGATATTTAAGTAACTATATTGGCTTGGGTGAAGCAAATAGTGTGTAAGTAAGGTTAATACGAATTGAATTTTAACCCCACTACGCTTAAGCGTATAATATGTAGTTTGTGTGTTAATTTGAATTTCATTAATTATTTTGTGGAAATTTCAAATGGTTTTTCTAACAAGAGGTCAAGTACATTTGTATGTTTATTTTTATGTAATTGGTGGTTTAAAAATGATTTAAACGATAATTTATACACAAGTATGGATTTTGATCATGTGCTTAAAATGCGTATTTTTGTCTGATTTTTTTTATGATTTCTACAAAATTTATATATTTTGATCAGAAATAATAAAAATTATGGATTTTAATTAGTGTCAAAATGGCTTTTTCATTGAAAAGAATTTTTCAATAATTTTTAGAAACTCATGGATATTAATCAGCAAAATTTATTTGATTTAAATATTTTAATTTGAAACAAATATTATTGCTGATTTTTTTGTTTAATACTGACGTGTTAATTATATTTTGGGCATAATTTTAGGTCATTGTTCTTCAAAATTATTCTAAATAGTTTTAATTAATTCACATAGAATCAAATGTCAAAAGATATAATAACTTAACTTTCCTACTGAGGATTTTACAAAATGTATGTGTTATTATTATTATACCCATTGCATGCAATGTCCTTTTTGAAGGTCTCAAACTACAATAAACCTTGGCAATGCAAGATCACTTTAAGCAGTTGCAAGAATTTATAAGGTACAGTTTGTTTCATATCACAAAAACTTGACATTAAAAAATTATATAAAATCGCACAATAAATAAAGATTTTACAGGGGTGATTTGCAAACAAATGGTTCACACTGTATGTATACTTCTTATAAAATATTTAGCTTTATCTATGAGCTTGGTCTATTTAAGATATTGCAGTGATGTTTCACTTAAAATTAGAGCTTCCTGTAATTATATTCAGCTCTTACGTATCCTAAAAAGTTATCCTTGCATGTTTAGTTTCTTTTAGAGCACTTAGTAGCAAGGCAAATAGACTGAATATTATAGAATACTAAAAGAAGCAATTTATTTATTTTTTAATATTATTATACAAGGTGTCCCTAAACTTATTGGCATAAATTTAGGAAAAGATTGAGCAAGTCAAAATAAGACGAAAACCTAAATAAATATTTTTTCTAATTACTTATTCTTCCAAGATACAAGATGATAAAGTGTTACTTATCATATCAGTTTTTTTAATATAACTTCTACTATGATAGTCTTGGAAGGGTGATATCTTGCGAACAGTCACTTACTACCAAAACACATATTCACACATAATTACAATTGTTTGAGTGAACACAGTGTCGTAGAAACGGGGGTTGCTTTGATGCAATTTTTCGATTACACAGTTCGGCTACCATTAAAAAGGTGTACCTCTCAAACTTCCGATAAAATAAACCGTTTCCGAGATATTCGAGATTACAATAATTGTTATATCGCATTATTTAAAAGCATTAAAAGGTATATGATAACAAATTTTATTTTTTAATTGAAAAAACTAAAAAGGGCATTCCATGAGCCTTGGGACTTTTTGCACTGACCTTCACATTAAAAAAAATTGTTGTTTTTTCAATTAAAATTTTCGATAAAATATCGAAGTGTTTTTTTTATTTTATCGAAGTTTGAGAGGTACGAGTACACCTTTTTAATAGTAGCCGAACTGATTAATTAAAAAATTGCATCAAATGGTATAAAAACCTATCCTCAAAGTTTGTATGGGACAATAAGCTTAAGCAACCCCTGTTTCTACGACACTGTGTTCACTCGAACAATTGTAATTATGTGTGAATATGTGTTTTGGTAGTAAGAGACTGTTAGCAAAACCCCTGTATACCAAATTTAGTGATTCTCGTACAACAGGGTTCTGAGATATAAGAAAAAGACTATTCTCATGGGCTACTTTTGTGGGGCTGTATCTCCGAAAAAGGGGGCCCATTGGCAAAACTAAAAAATACGTGTCCCCTAAATTTATCTCAAGAATCTGTGACCAAATTGTGTTGCATTAATTTCCGGACACCCTGTATAGTTTTTGTTTAACTGATTCTGTCGAAAATGAGGTAAGATACAAAAACAACTAAGTGACTAAAAAATTGTGTTTTTAGTAGCTTAATCATAAAAAATATATAAAAATTGCAGTGGCGTACATTTTTTCTCATTAATATTCGTTAAGGCGCCACTGGTCAATTTTAATCTGGTTAAACGTTGCCAAATTTAACGAAATCGGGTAAACGATATTTAAGATAGGTATTTTAAAAAATCCGTTTTTTTATGTTTAACATTTAACCCAAGTTTATATTAACTTTTTTGCCTATTTAGAAGACGAATCTCTGGCGCATGTATTTGAAACACCCTGTATGCACATTGTTTAAAAAATAAAATTGTGCCTTGAAGATGTGCCCTTTTGCACAGTAAAAAATGTATATGTATATTTCACATATTTGTTGTGTCCCAGAAAGTCCACTCAAATTTTTTAGTTTTTTTGATTTTTATTACTTATGTTAATTTTTAACACAACAGAATGTGTAAAAGAAAATTAATTTTATTTTTTTAAATGATTATTTTATTTATTTTACACAAAAAAGTGTTGATTTTACAGAAATAGTATGTCTTCATTTAATTATTTTAATTTGTTATTTTAACAATATTTTTTAATTAATTTTTACATTATTAATTGTTTATTTTTATTTATTTTAATAAAATATTTAAATTAATTTAAGAATATTGGTTTTTGGGCAAAAAATAAAAGTATGTAATAATAATGATTTATTATTCTACAACATAATTTAAAAAAAAAGGCCAGCAATGAAGCATTGGAATAAACTAAAATTTCACAGTGCAGTCCTTTTTTTGTATTCCAAAATAAAATACAAATCCATACCATAGGGTAAACGGTCTTCAAGCATTTCTGGGGATACAAACGTTATGTAAGTAAAAAAAACATTGTCATAGCAAACTTACCTTTAAATTTTGTTAAACACACGCTTTATAAATGCACACTTAACCTTACAACTAGGAACCTCTAATCGAATTAACTATCATCAACCGACTAAACGCGGTTAGAAGACAAAGGGCCTTGAAGGGTACCGATTTAAATCGAAAGAAGGCGAAAATTAGCAAATTAGAAGAATAACATTTATATTCAAGTTAAATTGAATAAAAAAAATACTCAATTGTTTTAATTTGATTAAAAATGTTCTGTACTTAAATATTTAACAAATATATTTTTAAGTTAGATTAAGACTTGTTTGGGAGGTATTTAAACTAATGTATTAAATTGAAATTAACATAATTTTCTCGTGACATTTACTACATTATTATACTACAATGTAAAACAAAAATTTAAATTTCAAATATTGAATATTTTAAATCTTTTGAAATTTTATGATTTTAATTATTATAATTTTTGTATCAAGTAACATATATTATTTATGTAATAAACACTAGGAAGTTTATGTAAATTTTTACATTTTTTATTTAGCACGCATTATTTTTAACGCAAATTTTATAAATTTTTAACAAGTGGTTCGCTCAATTGTAGGCCTTCGCTACGCGTCGGCATTCAAACTTTGGACTCACAAAAAGTGACCTTAAGGTCGTTAAAAAATAGGGGTATACATTAAAAGCTTAATTGTAATTTTTTTTGCTAAAATTTAAAATTATATTTTACCGCTAAATTAAATTTGTTTTGCGAAAAAGAGGAAAAAAGGTCAAAACTATGCTTGATTGGATTAATAAAAGAAATTTTGAAAAAAAAAACATAAAATGTTAAAAAATACGCTGAAAAAAAACCTGGAAACCAAAACAATAAAAGGGTGTTTTTTCACGTTACAGGATGTAAATATCGGGAATTTTCGTTTTTTGAAACAAATATTTATTTATTCGTCTACATTAATGTTGTCGCCTTCAAAATAGTCCCCATTGGATATTATGCACATGTGCCAGCTCTTCTTCCAATACTCGAAACACTTCTAAAACTCGATCTTCGAGATAGCCTTTAGTTCTTTCAGCGATGCGCTTTTAATGTCATCTATGCTTGCAAAACGACGGCCCTTTAAGGTTCTCTTTATTTTTGGGAATAGGAAAAAGTCAGACAGAGGCATGTCTGGCGAATATGGAGGTTGGGGCATCATTACAGTATTGTTTTTGGCCAAAAATGTTGTTCAAAATTTAAAAATTTTAGAACAAATTTTGCTGCCACGCGTTTCATACCCAAAACATTCGAAAAAATGTCATGGGATGAGCCAATCGATATACCAACATCATCAGCGACTTCTCTGATGGTTTATAACCATTTCTTCCACTTTTTCCGTGTTTTTATCGGTTGTTAATGTGCTTGTGCGTTCGGGGCGTTCGTCATCTTCAACGTCTTCACGGCCATCTTGGATACTCTTATACCACTCTTGTTTTACAGACTCACTATAGGCCTTTGTTAACATTTCACAGAATTTTTTTCATTTTTTAAGCAAAATTGGATACAAATTCTTTGATCCATTTCTTTTAACGAACGAAAAATCGCCGAGCTCATAAAACACGTCTAACCTTAGCGGCTGCCACAGACAAAGTAAACAATGAAAACAGAAAGTTTTTATCATACTTCGGGGGCATGTATACCAACATAATAAATAAAATTTTATGACAACCGGACCCTCCGAAGCCGCGAAATTTAACAATTCCCGTTATTTTTTTTAAGTTAGTTTTAAGTGTTTTATTGTGCTATTTACCGACCATTTCTATACAAATACTGTTTGTCAATTTGGGAAAATAAAGATTATTATTATTATTATTATTCTGAACACACCTCGTACATCTCTAGCTAGGGCTAAGGCTCGTTTTTAATTACACTGTTTAAGCTGTATAACATTGCTACAAAATATTCTTAAATTTAAATTACTGCCCATCTAAATAAAAATACAATTTTGGTTTGCTTATATTTATAAATATTATTCATTCAACCATATATTAACTTAAACATTAAAAAATATGCCTAAAAACATTTTAAGGAAAAACCTCGCGAATAAATATAAAATAACACATCCTAAAGTAATTAAAGAGTAGTGTAGGTATTTAAATGTTTGAAGTTTCTTTTGGCCTTGCTTCACAGTGTTCATTTCGTCCTTTAAAATGTACACTCTTATTCCTTTCATGTAATATTCCAAGTAACTTTCCCAATCTATATCCGAATGGTCGAAATTAAATAATTCTCTATCCTTTCTCGTCATGCCTTTTATCAGTTCTTTATTGTTTGAATCGTTAAAGACCCAGGAATTGTTCATGAAGTATTGAATGTTTCCTGTGTATCCTTCCATTTGGTCGTAAAATCCTGATATCCTACAAAAAATAATAACATTACAATATGACTTTTCTTAAACATTATAATTTAAATAAATATTTTTATCTAATCTAAATTTTGCTCATATTTTTACTATACAGGGTGTCCCATAATTAGCGTGCAATACTTTAACAGCAGATTCTACGTACAAAAATAAGAAAAAAAATTTCTATAAAAATAGGTTGAGAAATGCTTTCCAAGGGAGCTACAGCCCCCGAAAGAGGAGCCCCTGAAGATGGTTTTTATTTAATATCTCTAAAACTGTTTAAGATAGAAAAGTGAAATTTTGGGATATAATCAAACTTTTTATAGCCAATAAGTTGGAATAAAAACAAATTCAAAATTTTCATAAGGGGTGGGTCAGATAGAAAGGGATTGGGGGTAAAACTACCCTAACTTTTTTGTACGTATCTTGTGCTATGATTTGATGTCAGATCATAAAATTTCAGAGTTTTACACACAAAAAAGGTCCTCTTGATGAACTTCGATAGCATGCACCGTTTTCGCTTAAAATCGATTTAAAAATTACCTTACATAGCATAAAAAAGATTCAGCTGAGGCCATGGACAATTTTTAAACACCCTGTCACATATTACATGAAACAATCACCTGTCTTAAATAATTTTTCCTAAAGATGGCAGCTGTGTTCCATGGCCTACTCTGATTTTTTCTCTCTTGTGAATTCTCTTATCTTTTATGCTATGTAAGGTAATTTTTAAATGGTTTTTAAGCGAAAACAGTGGACAATATCAAAGTTTAACAAGAGGACCTTTTTTGTGTGTAAAATTCCGAAATTTCATAATCTGACATCAAATCCTAGCACGAGACACGTACAAAAAGTTGGGGTGGTTTTAACCCCTATTCTCTATATCTATCTGACCCAACCCTCATGGAAATTTTAAATTGTTATTATTACATCTTATTGGCCATTCTACCTTGAATATATTAAATAAAAACCATCTTTAGGGGCTCCTCATTTAGGGGCTGTAGTTCCTTTAGAAAGCATTTCTAGGCTTATGTTTATAGGAACTTTTTTTCTTATTTTTGTACGTAGAATCTGCTGTTAAAGTATTGCACGCTAATTATGGGACACCCTGTAGACAGTGTGATCAATTTGTTCGCGACTCACCCCTGTAAAATCTTTATTTATTGTGCGATTTTAACCGTATTTGTTTTTAAAGTGTAGATCTTGAGAAATTGTATTTTTGGAGCAAAAAACGCCATATTTGTATAAAATACAAGGCCTACTATGTCACTTTTTAAGAGTAATTTTTTAAGAATTCATATATAATATATTAGTGATTTTTTTAAACAAAATCTAAGCACGGCATTGGACTCACCACCCCCAAACTTTATTTTTATCCACTATAATTTTAATTTTGTTTCAATGTTTTTTCATGAATAACTTGACAAAATAATTTTTTGTGGTTATTATTGTGCTTTTTTCTACTTAAAATTTTTCAATAAAATTTAGTAAAGGATCGCAGGATAGTTATCAGATAAATGCCTCACGTAATTAATGGATGTCCCCTAACTTTCTCTGTGGCGCGAGTTCTGGGACACCCTGTATAATTCGTTTTGTTATATTTATTAACTAATTTAGGTATATGTACCATTTTGAAATAAATATTAAGAAGACAAAGAAAATATAAATGTTAAAGACAGCAGTAATTTTAACTTTATTTTTACGATAATATGAGATAATTGATTTGTTTTTCTTACTTTATTCTTTTGGTCGTCTGAATAGTTATTATGTAGTATAGAATAGTTATTATGTAGTAAAAATAACCATTACAAGTTAGTCCAGGAAACAAAGATTGTAGAAGGAAAACTTGATGGTAGTCGGGTTTTATTTTTTTTTATGTAGAGTCAGGGGTGCTGATAATGAATCAAGAATATTCCCCAAAAATTTACTTCCGCGTCCCTTAATTTCATCCCCCGAAAGGGGAGTTTTTTTGCTTTTTGGCTCATAACTCGCTAACCGTGCATTTTTTCAGAATTTGACCTCCAATACTTTTGATTATTTACTAAATAAGGCACACGTTAAACCCCATTGCGCACCTATATGATGTGCCCTTTTGCTATGAGAACTGAGCAAAGTTGAGCGTTGCTTTCAAAATCACTTTTTTGTTTTTTTTTTATTTATTTTTTATTATAGCCCAATTTTAAAAGTAATCGATCCCAAACCTTACGATAATCAAACATAACCGAATGGACGATTTTTTGAGGTACTAGACTTTTTCAAAAGTTACTGCTTTTCAATGTACTGGGGATTCTTTTTTCAAAAAATCCATTTCCCAAACGGCTTTAATGAGCCAGTTGGTTCTACCATAGATTTTTAGGTACACTTATCCTGGTAACGAATCCATAGGTTTTTTTTTTAATTATTTTCATTGCAAGTGCCCCACAAAAATTAAAGTTTAAAAAAAAGAACCCCCTGTACATTGAAAAGCAGTAATTTTTGAAAAAAGTCCAATACCTCAAAAAATGGTCCATTCGGTTATGTTTGATTACCGTAGGTTTGGGATCGATTACTTTTAAAATTGGGCTATAATAAAAAAAACAAAAAAGTGATTTTGAAAGCAACGCTCAACTTTGCACACTGCGCATAGCAAAAGGGCACATCATATAGTTGCGCAATGGGGTTTAACGTGTGCCTTATTTAGTAAATAATCAAAAGTATTAGAGGTCAAATTCTGAAAAAATGCACGGTTAGCGAGTTATGAGCCATAAAGCAAAAAAACTCTCCTTTCGGGGGATGAAATTAGGGGTCGCGGAAAGAAATTTTTGGGGAATATTCTTGATTCATTATCAGCACCCCTGACTCTACATAAAAAAAATAAAACCCGACTACCATCGAGTTTTCCTTCTACAATCTTTGTTTCCTGGACTAATTACCATTATTTTACTACTACTAACATGTTGCAATTTTAACTAATAATGCTTATTGGAGTACTGTACAATTTCTGCTCGGATACAAATAATATGTGAGCGCTGCTTAATGAATTCTACATATTAGATGCGTACAGTAACCTGACCACCTTGATTTTTAGTTATTTATTTATAATAACAAGCCGCTTAATGCACATTACCCGTTTGTTATTCTATTATACCTCTCTGAAAATACTAAACTGGCATATGTGATGTGGAAAAATGAAATTGTCTTAAAGGCCGAAAAATAGATTTCCTGGTTTTAGCTGATTTCTATAAAAGAGGGCTTTGTGCACTACTGCAACTCCGAGCTCCGTACACTGTTCAAAATTTCATGACCATTTTAACACCAAATTAACACCATACATGGTCTATATCGATACAAACCAAAATGGTGTTAAATATGGTTTGTTGGTCCAGTCAGTGTTGCCAGAAATGCAGAATTTTCTTCAATATGCAGAATTTTAGCCTACATCGAGAGCTAATGAAGAAAAGAAGAATATTTTACAAAAACCACTACAATATGAAGAATTTTTTAAATTCACATGTTTTTTTTTTTCATTTTTAATTTTTTTTCAATTTTCTAGATTATTTAATTCTTTAACTCGATTTTAACACTGTAATATGATTTAAAATTTAAATTTTAAATGTAATTATTTTATTCATTTCGTATGTATTCTGACATCTCTCAGTAAAATGGTATAAGACTCGAATTGCATCACTGGTGCTACACTGGGGAAGCCCTAAATTTTAATAGATATGATTGGTATAAAATAGGTATACCTAATATATATATATTTATTTTATTTATAATTTATAAATCATAACTCCATAAAATATAATATACCTACTATATTAAAAATTATAATATACCTAGTAGGTATATTATATTTTAAGGATTTGCATGCATGCACATGTGCATTGTGTATTAGAGATTTATTTAAAAATGATCTCAAATGAAGAAGATTCTCAAGGGTAAATATTATTAATTAAATGAGTGCCTTTGTCACAGCAAATAATAATTAAGTATTTTGTATCTTATTTTAAGATTTTCCAAAATCCTCGAACAGGGTGGCTCTGTGAAGTGCCAAGTGAAGAGACAAAATTTGAATGTCGATGGTGTAATGCAATACTTTATAAGGGTTTTTTTTAATAATGAATGATGTGAAAACACAAAAACGAAACAGAATTCAAGAAAATGCATTGAATTCATAGATTAATTTCCTTTGCGTACCGATTTTAAAGATACAGGTACAAATTCTGCAAAAATGTCTGTCACCAAAAAACATTTAGATTTAATGAAATTAAATAATTTATTTAATTCCTATATCATGGTGTATAGTTTTTGTTCTGCCTATAAAATTAATTAATTCATTTTCTTTAATTTGTAATACTTTATCTCCTGTTTACCATAAAAGATATTTGACTTTTAAAAATATTTTTTTTATTATTATTAAGTATCTAATCCAGTCAGAAGGTTTTTTATCTAATGACGTTTTACATCTCTGCAGAAATATGAAATTCACATGTTTTTTTTTTTCATTTTTAATTTTTTTTCAATTTTCTAGATTATTTAATTCTTTAACTCGATTTTAACACTGTAATATGATTTAAAATTTAAATTTTAAATGTAATTATTTTATTCATTTCGTATGTATTCTGACATCTCTCAGTAAAATGGTATAAGACTCGAATTGCATCACTGGTGCTACACTGGGGAAGCCCTAAATTTTAATAGATATGATTGGTATAAAATAGGTATACCTAATATATATATATTTATTTTATTTATAATTTATAAATCATAACTCCATAAAATATAATATACCTACTATATTAAAAATTATAATATACCTAGTAGGTATATTATATTTTAAGGATTTGCATGCATGCACATGTGCATTGTGTATTAGAGATTTATTTAAAAATGATCTCAAATGAAGAAGATTCTCAAGGGTAAATATTATTAATTAAATGAGTGCCTTTGTCACAGCAAATAATAATTAAGTATTTTGTATCTTATTTTAAGATTTTCCAAAATCCTCGAACAGGGTGGCTCTGTGAAGTGCCAAGTGAAGAGACAAAATTTGAATGTCGATGGTGTAATGCAATACTTTATAAGGGTTTTTTTTAATAATGAATGATGTGAAAACACAAAAACGAAACAGAATTCAAGAAAATGCATTGAATTCATAGATTAATTTCCTTTGCGTACCGATTTTAAAGATACAGGTACAAATTCTGCAAAAATGTCTGTCACCAAAAAACATTTAGATTTAATGAAATTAAATAATTTATTTAATTCCTATATCATGGTGTATAGTTTTTGTTCTGCCTATAAAATTAATTAATTCATTTTCTTTAATTTGTAATACTTTATCTCCTGTTTACCATAAAAGATATTTGACTTTTAAAAATATTTTTTTTATTATTATTAAGTATCTAATCCAGTCAGAAGGTTTTTTATCTAATGACGTTTTACATCTCTGCAGAAATATGAAGAATTTTTAAGGTTAAATTGAAGAAAATTGGTATAAAGAATCTGGCAACACTGGGTCCAGTGTAAATTCAAATACTAAAATGGTGTAAATTTAACTTTCAGACAGTATTAAAATAAATTTTATCTGGTGTAAATTGAACTCCTTTTCAGTGTTAAATATAATGTGTTTTTGGTCAAATTAAATCATACTACACAGAAAAAAAAAACAGGAAGTTCCTTGACGCATTACAAGTATATTACCAGTGGTATTATTCCAGAAAATTGAACCTTCAACTCGCTAGAGAGAAAAACATTTGCTTTCCACTAACTTAAAATACTTCAAATATTGACAGCTGTTTCCACCTATTTAAGGTCTTTTTAGTATCGAACAACCTGTAGTGTCACACCAAAGCAAAGGACTACCTGAGCTTATATACTTTTCATGTAAGTCAACAGAGGCGAGATTTAAGAACATCACGTGATCCACACCGCCTTTGCCGCGATCGGTACACACTATGCAACAAGGAATGCACGGCAAATTGTTTTAATCGTTTTAACAGAGAGCTTTAGGTTGAAGTAACTTTTATTTTACAAACAACATATTTAGTAAACTGAACCATACAGCGGGTTGGTTTCACTAAAGTTGTCTGGGTTAATTTAACCAATTTTAAAAAAATAAAATAACTATCTGCTTTAGTACCGTCAAACTAATCTTTGTTTATATTAACCTTCCCACAGTTGATTTAAATAAATACTTATGGGTCAACTAAATTAATACAGTTAAATGAACTATTCCTTTTTTTCTGTGTGGGTGCACTTCTCAAATATTTTTAGATAAACACCGTTTTGGTGTTTGCTGTATAAAACATTTTCAACCATAATTCATGGTGTTATATTAACACCACTTGATGTTGAATTTTGACACAATTTTAAGATTACTCTTCACACCACAGATATTTTAAACAGTGTATCTGTCTTTCGGCATCGCAAGGTTTAATCCCGGCGAATTCGCCATTTTTGCAAAAATAAATGAAAATGACAATATTCTTGAAAATTTCTTAATTACCTTCCGCGTTTTCCCACACATAGCAGCACTATATCCAATATAAAGGCCGGAATTGTATGCAGTAAAAATTTTAACAATAAATAATTGTAAAGACAGCTCGTCACTATTTTGTATGGGTACCACATCAATTTACTAGAGGGAGATTCTTTACCATATTTATCCATAATTTCGCCGAATGTTTCTAAAAGAGAAATAAAACAAAATTAAGCCATCCCAAAATTTAACAACCAATTCTTATGTAGAATTGTCCCCTGAATCCGAAGATACCGTCAAAAATGGAGCAGTTTTTGATATATAGTCAATTCCATATTAAATGGAAAATTGACTATATCTCAAAAACTGTTCTACTTTTTTAACGTTTGACGACATTTTCGGATTCAGGGGACAATTTTACATAAGAATTGGGATACCATGGTATTCCATGGTTAACCATGGTACAAGTGAAAAAGCAGCCACAAATAACTATTAAATTAGTCATGTTTGACTAATTTATTTTTAGAGTTTAAAAATATTTTTAATAAAAGTTATTTTGTGATTTATTTTAAATTTTATGGTGAAATTGCCAACTTGGGCAAAAATGCAGCTACACTTTTTGTTTTAATAGTGACCCCCCTTTTTTACCTTTAGAATTTGAAAGAGACCACTCTCTTAAAATAAAATAATCAAATTACACCATATGAATTAGTACCAGCATTGTTTACTAATAAAAATAATTATTTTTTACTACTTATAAGTAATAAATAGTTTAAGTTTGGCTAATTTAAGATAAGTCACCAGTTTTATTATAAAATACAATGGTGGTTTGTTTTGTGACATATTATTTAAAAGTTTGTTGTAATATATTATGTACCTACAGGGTGTCGCCCCACTTTAACTTTTTTATTTTAAGTGTCCCAAAAAATTTAAAAGTGTGATTATGTAGGTACTAAAAAATCCTTTTTTTCTACGTATAAAGAAAATTGGAATATTGATCAGTATACAGGGAAAAACAAAAAGTTTATTTTTTTGATGGATCACCCTATATTTGTATTTATTTTTCGATTCCCTGTAAAATTCTAAGCATATTTCATATAACATACCATATGAGTAATTCTTTTATAAACCGAACACCTTTTGACCGACACATCTCAGATTTGGCTGAAACTTTTTTTACGGATTCTATGTCGAAAAATAAGAGATACGTGTCCGAGGAATTTTTTTTCTCTCGCATATTTTCGATAATACAAGCTATCGAAAATTTGAGAATAACGAGTTTTTTGGCTTGGAGACTCATTTTCAAAAATTTATAACTCTGGTTCTATTTGAGCTACAAACTTCTTTTTTTTTTCATTTTAAAGCTAAAGGACTGAATTTTTATAAAAAAATATTTTTAATAAATATTATTAACAAATTTATATTGTTATTAACAATTTCATTGTTTAAATCAATTTTTAACAATGGCCCCCACCTCGTATTAAGTTTTTAGTATTTTTATCGTATTCTCCATCAAATTTTACATAAAAAACATGTTTTCAAAATATGGTACCTTTATTATTACTATTGTTAAAACATTAATTTGTATTGCGCGACACATAAAAAAACGGTTTTTTGTTAATAAAAAGAAAACTATAGCTCGGAAGAAAAAAAGTCATATATAAAAGTTGTAGATAATAAAAAGATATACAATTTTTATTTTAACTATTTTTTGACATAACCTCACTTTTCAAATAAATTGAAAAATTTCAATTTATTTGAAAAGTAAGGTTATGTCAAAAAATAAATAAAATAAAAATTGTAGATATTTTTATTATCTACAACTTATATATTAGACTTTTTTTGATCCGAGCTATAGTTTTCTTTTTATTAACAAAAAACCGTTTTTTTATGTGTCGCGCAATACAAATTAATGTTTTAACAATAGTAATAATAAAGGTACCATATTTTGAAAACATGTTTTTTATGTAAAATTTGACGGAGAATACGATAAAAATACTAAAAACTTAATACGAGGTGGGGGCCATTGTTAAAAATTGATTTAAACAATGAAATTGTTAATAACAATATGAATTTGTTAATAATATTTATTAAAAATATTTTTTTATCAAAATTCAGTTCTTTAGCTTTAAAATGAAAAAAAAAGAAGTTTGTAGCTCAAATATAACCAGAGTTATAAATTTTTGAAAATGAGTCTCCAAGCCAAAAAACTCGTTATTCTCAAATTTTCGATAGCTTGTATTATCGAAAATATGCGAGAGAAAAAAAAATCCTCGGACACGTATCTCTTATTTTTCGACATAGAATCCGTAAAAAAAGTTTCAGCCAAATCTGAGATGTGTCGGTCAAAAAGTGTTCGGTTTGTAAAAGAATTACCCATATACCTAAATTCAACCGTTTCTGAAATATTTAAATTATTTTTAAGATAATAAGTCTTTCTCTGTCTGAGTACGCCATTTTTACTTATTTAAAAAGGCATATAGACATAATGTCACTAATTAATTTTCAATACAAATTTTGGTATATTGAGGCTTCTTAATTTTTAACAGTTTAAAAAAACATTTAATGATAACACATATAACATAATATTTCAGAAACGGTTTGTTTAAATAAATTATGCTCAGAATTTTACAAGGAATCGAAAAATAAATTCATATATAGGGTGATCCATTGAAAAAAAATAAACTTTTTGTTTTTTCCTGTATATTGATCAATTTTCCATTTTTTTATACATAGAAAAAAAGTATTTTTAGTACCTACATAACCACACTTTTAAATTTTTTAGGACACTTAAAATAAAAAAGTTAAAGGGGGGCGACATTATAGGGGATCACCCTGTACAGTAACCTCTTGGGTATTTCAGTAAATTTTCAAAATGAATTTTCTCAGCTTTTTATTGACCGTATCGTATTGACGTATCGTACATGATGGAATAAAAAAAACACTTTTACCAAATTTATCATTTTTTTTCGCCTTAAGGTAGTCTTACAAAAAAAGACGTTTTAAATGTAAATCTTATGTTGCTATAAACACTGTATGAAATCTCAAAAATAAGTTGGTTAAGTATAGTTTCAAAAGACCTTTTGACAGTAAGGAGCCATTTTAAAAATGTTTAACATCCTAAAATGTCCTATTCCTAACCTACCAGTTCTAAAAAAAATAAACGGGGGCGTGTTTTTACGTTCGCACTGCATAAGTGAAAAGAAAAAGAATAAAATAGCCTTTGTCATGTAAAAATCTATAAAGGTATCTACTAATCAATGTGTGCGAGCGTTTTTTGTTTTTTTACACCTGAGAAAACCGGAGTGCAATTTTTCACTGACCCTGTATCTGATTTGATTAATATGCCAGCATTTACACTTGACAACTTGTTAAAATTTTTAAATAACTTCGTGTTTTGTTTTATTTAAAATATTTTTTTTATTTTATACCAAACCGCTGTTAAAGTCTTTATTTTCATTTTTGTTATTTTATTTGTTGACATTGGCCAGTGCAAACAAGCAAACATAACAGGTATATGTGGTTATGTGTGCAACCCACTTCATACGTTTCAATTGTTTTTTCTGCGTTAAGAGTTCTTAAATTAAAAGTTGGCCAATTACATGTCTACTCACTTACTTGATGTAGAGTAGATAAAAGGTAATTTCATATTACTTTGTAAATACTTTATACGTGTAAAAGAGAAATTTATTCCACTTGTTTTTTATTGTCTGCATTATGCAACCAATTAGCATTAACAATATAGGTAACATGATATATTTTTTGAAAGCCCAATCCCTTAAAATTATATACTACTTACTCCATGTTATGGGATTATTTGGTGACGAAACGCAATTAAAAACTGGGACCTTGTCTTTCAGGTAGAGTTTTTCGAATTTATCGTAATCTCTGAAAAAAAACAAAACATTATGAAGCAGGTCTAAATCCATTTCCAAAAAAATCAGAAAAACCTTTATTTTTCCAATAATTAAGTTTCAATATGAACTCGCTAGTGTTTAAAAATTGGGGGAAAAACCTGCTTTTTCCGTTTTTTCCCAGGCCTTGAAAAAATTGTCTTTTTTTGGAAAATTTGATTTTTTTGGAAAACATTATTTAAATTTAAAAAAATACTTTAATACAGAAAAAAACAAATTAAGCTAAACAATGAATTGAATTTAATTGATTCAAGAAAATAAACGTAAAACTACTGTCGGTTGGCACCTTTTTGAAAAAGGGAGTCCATTAAAAATATCCATTAACAAAATAATTAATGATTTATAAAGTTAAATTTCAAAATTTTAATTTAATAAAACTATGTGTCAAATAAAACAATATATTGTTATAATTATAATTATGTTAATACATCACAAACTATGTTTTTTGCGGCCTGGTTGAATATTCTTAACGAATTAAAATAGTAGGAATAATTATTATAATCATAATATAATATTATGATTATAATCAGACTCGAAAATATATTTTTTTCTCGACATCAGTGTATTTTGTGATTTTTCAGAAAAATTGACTTGCATTTTTTCGCATTACCCTTTGAATAAAATGAAAAATCAATTTTTCTGAAAATTTCACAATTTATTCGAAAAAAAAAACGGAAATTTTAAAACCCTAGAACTGGCTCCAAGAATAGAAATGATAAAGGTCTTATTATAATTAATCAAAAATCATTCTATACAGGGTATTATGTAATTAATGTTATATATTAAAATGGGTTGTTCCTTAGGGTCCATAAAGAAGCACCTGAAACTTTTTTTTCTAAATTCCAAAGACTAAAAATAATTTATAATAACCTTTATCCTACCAAAAAGTACGCCACTGATCGACTAATGCCTAATTTAATTTATTATGTTATGGTTGGTGACAACAGCGTTTTCAAATTCTGTTGCAAAGCATTGTTTAAATTTAGCTTAATTACAAAAATGACAAAATTAACAATGCAAATTGTCAATTTGTCGTTTTTATTAATTGTTGGTTATGTAATTTTTGTACTGAAGGTAAATTCAAACAAAATCTGGCAACTTTTATTACAGAATCTAGTGCATTTCTTTCAAATTTTAGGTTATGTGCTCAAATTGTAAATATCTTAACTAAGGAAAGTGCTTTTGTATTTATTTACACAAATTAAATGTTTAAAGTTTAACCTGTGAACTGGTCCCAATTTCATCTGAGTAAACAGAAAGAAAAAAACCGTGGAAAAAATTAATGTTGTGGTGATGGATTTTTTAAAATACCCATGTACTAAATTTTCAAATCATTGCTTAAGCTAAAAGCTGGATAAGTAAATAAATACAGAAGGGTATTAGAGCTTTAAGAGCATAAAACTTTTGCATTTATCGAGTTTTTATTTATTTTTTGCAAGAACATTTTTTAGTAACAATTTTTTACATCTGGCAATGCGCAGCTACTTTGTTGGTTGGTATCTATGTACTCACAGAACACAAGTGTGCAGAGATAAACCAAGTGTGTAACCAGTGGCGTATCACAAAAAATATAAAAAAACTTCTAATGCATATTTTTTCTTTATCTTTGGAAAAATATTTTTTAAATATTTTTCCTTTACTCCTTGTGTCAAAAGGTATTCAGTATTTTAATATATAACGTTAATTACATAACACCCTGTATATATAAATATCTTACTTATATTCGTTAACAGCCCATCCAGCTGCTATAGCATTATTGATGACGTAGTCAGCTGTGACAATGTCGCCTACTTTATCATCGTCTCCGTAAAAAACTCTAAGAATTCCCAAACCGACTCCTATAACCACCCCTGTAGGCCCATGGCAGCTGTCAATGTAACCCCTAATTGGACCCAGATTTGTTGCAATAACTAAAAAAAAATTATAACTTAAAAACAAATATTTCTTCTGTGATATGTTCAAAAAGTATAAGGAATTTTGTTTTAGGAGTACGTAATTAATGACTATTTAGTCAAAATATATTTTGGTACAAATAGTATATTATGTATCAAGTTTGATAAACGCCGTCTATAAAATTTTACATTTTTTGCATTTATATTTCATTCGTAAGTCTTGACAAGTCTGTTATAACATCGTGACTCCACTCTTCAAGGTCATCGAAGCGTTTTGAATATTGCGTTTTAAATCTTGCGTTTAAAAAAAAAATGCTTTTCAGAATTTGTTCACCCAATCAAAAAGAAGTTAAATTTAAAAAAAAAACGTTTTTTTGGCCCGGTTTTGTTTTCGATGTTCGGTACCAGAAAAACTATAAAATAACCATGGACCACAACATTTTTTATGGTTTTTGAAAATTTAACATTTAACTGTACAGGGTGATCCCCTATAATGTCGCCCCCCTTTAATTTTTTTATTTTAAGTGTCCCAAAAAATTTAAAAGTTTGGTTATGTAGGTACTAAAAATACTTTTTTCTACGTATTAAAAAAAATGAAAAATTGATCAATATACAGGGAAAAACAAAAAGTTTATTTTTTTTAATGGATCACCCTATATATGAATTTATTTTTCGATTCCTTGTAAATTTCTGAGCATAATTCATAAAACAAACCATATCCTAAATTCAACTGTTTCTGAAATATTCGCATTCGAAATGTTATCATTAAATGTTTTTTTAAACTGTTAGAAATCAAGAAGCCTCAGTATACCAAAATTTTTATTGAAAATAAATTATTATAGTGACATTATGTCAATATGTCTTGATAAATAAGTAAAAATGGCCTACTCAGACAGAGAAAGACAAACTATTTCAACTTTTTATCTTAAAAATAATTTAAATATTTCAGTAACGGTTGAATTTAGGGATATGGTATTTTATATGAAATATGCTTAGAATTTTACAACGAATCGAAAAATAAATACATATATAGGGTGATCCATTGAAAAAAAATAAACTTTTTGTTTTTCCCTGTATACTGATCAATTTTCCAATTTTCTTTATACGTATAAAAAAAGTATTTTTTAGTACCTACATAACCACACTTTTAAAAAAAAAATTTTAATTTTTTCGGACACTTAAAATAAAAAAGTTAAAGGGGGGCGACATTATAGGGGATCACCCTGTACATAAATATTTAGATCTAAACCTAAACTGAAATCTTGATGATAACAGTTGGTTTCAACAAGGCAAGTACCTTGATCAAAATCTCAGGGTTGTCACTAGTTATTTGGAGACAATATTTCCCCCAAAAATAATATCGAATGGAGGTACAATTCGCTGGCCAGCAAAATCACCGGATCTGTCTCCTAGTGATTTTATTCTTTGGGGTATATGAAATTCAGCAACAACCTGTATAACTATAAAATGTCAACTTAAGCAAGATGAATCTCTTGTTATGTTGATTTAATCTAAAAAATACTTACTAGATGAACATCTTACTATAGCAACTGGTAATTTTCCAGATTCATTTTTGATTAAATTTTCTGCTAAAGCCATTGTGAAAGTAAAACTGCTCGGCCATTTTTCTGTAAGGCTACGAAAGAAGAATTTTAAAAAGTTTTTTGTTACTTAAATTAGTTACCTTTTATATTTCTCCAAACCCTTAACACCGTCTGATTCTATAGATGTTATAAATTCCTCTACATCTACATCCAAATCGTAGATTTTTTCATCGATTTCTTCCTTGACGCAATTTGAATATGCAGTGGACACCAATACAAATGACTAAAAAAACATTTAAGTTTGTCACCTTGTAAAATTACTATTAAAAATACCTAGAGATGGGAATCGGAAAGTTTCCATTTTAAGGAAACTTTCCGTTTTGGAAAGTTTCCAATTGGGAATTTATTTTCATTTTGAAAGTTTCTTTTAAGCTACCGGAAACATTCCTTGGAAACTTTCCTTGTTTTTTTCATTTAAATGTCAATTGTTTAACCGCTGATTTTCGTTAAGGCCATGATACAAGGCCAAGAAACTTTGAATAAGAATTTAATGTGTGTTAATTTAAAGCAGAAGAAGAAGTATAAATAATGTAAGTTATGTTACATAACCTCAATGAAGCCGGATTATTCAGCATCATCACAAAAAACTTTTTAAAAAAAAGGTAAACAAAATAAAAACAATAAACAAAGTTAAAAATCATTCTTGCATTTTTGTTGTTTATTTATAGGCATAGCACAATGCCAAGAAAAAAATCTAGTGTTTGGAATTATTTTTTACTTCAATTTTTACTTTTTAATATTCCTATATATTAGTTACTTTGTCCCTTTTAATTTTTTTTACGTAATATCTAGGATTTACTAGCAGTGAATTTCTAATAGTAAACATTTTATTTTTATTTTGTAGGTTTCAGTATACAATAGGAATATTCCAAAGTAAAAGATACTAAAAATAGTATTACAGTTACATTCTTATAAACATTTTTTTATTTTTTTTTCTTAATAAAATTTGACAAAAAGTTAATGTGTTATATATTTTTGCAAATCCCTGGCATAAAAAAAATATTTTCGCAATAATAAATTTTTTTTTTAAACTTCGGGAATTTTCGATGGAAAGTTTCCGGGAATTTTCGTCAAATGGGAATTTTCCCATCTCTAAAAATACCTGTATACCTTTAATTTTTTCATGGATCTAGCAATATTCAGCAGTTCCCCTGTGCCTCTAATGTTAGTTAAAGAAGCATCGACAATGGTTTGGTTCACTTTCGCAGCAACTGCTGTATGAAACACGCAGTTCACTTCTTTGACAATATTTTTCAGTATCTTTTCCTCCAAACCAAGGTCTATCAAAGACATGTCACCATGAACAACTATTATTTTGCTCAAGCACTCAGAAGAGATTCTTTTGATTCCATCAAAAATCTAAAACAAATTTAATTCATACACACAGAGAAAAATCCGTTTGAAAAACATTGCAAAAAGTTGTGTCATTGGAGCATAATTTTCTATAACTGTGCTACGTTATCCAAAATACACTCACGTGCAAAATAATCGATCCACACAAATTTTCGATGAATTTCAATCGCAAATAACTTTTTTATTTGATGTCGGATTTAAACGAATATTAAAGAATATTGTAGATAAATTAATGGGCAATCTCTCACATTTTAAAAAAATACTAAAAAATAGACGTATACGTTTATAATATACAGGTTTAAACAAAAAGATGTTTAAGACACTCTGTAGAGTGGCAAAACTGTATATTGTTCTAAATTAAGTTTTATTTATCAAGTCACATCTATTAACAGTTTTGTTTTTGGTTCACCTCGATATATTTATATTTTTGTGAAAAATATGGATTTTTTAAAAAAACATTGCAATTTCCAATATTTTTCTGTACGAAGAACTAAGGTTGCTATGGTCCATCCATAGGCTATGGAGAATGATAGTGACAGTTTTGTTGAATCATCCCATACTTGGACATCATACACGGCTTTCAAAAGCTATCAAATTGTTTTTTGCATATTAATGTTTAAATTTTGAGGTGTCTTCTTACTTTATAAAATGGATATGTCTCCGACTGATGTTGCCAGAGCTATTAATTTAATCCAAGATGGACGGTCACAGTATTACGTGGCAAGTGTTTTAAACGTCATAAGAAGTAAAGTACAAAGGGCAACATCTGTCGGAGACATTTTTAAAAGTAAGAAGACACCTCAAAATTAACACATTAATTTAAAAAAAACAATTTGATAGCTTTTGAAAGCTATGTCCAAGTATGGGATGATTCAACAAAACTGTCACTATCATTCTCCATAGGCTATGGATGGACCATAGCAACCTTAGTTCTTCATACAGGAAAAATATTGGAAATTGCAATGTTTTTTAAAAAAATCCATATTTTCCACAAAAATAAATATATCGAGGTGAACCAAAAACAAAACTGTTAAGAATAGATGTGACTTGATAAATAAAACTTAATTTAGAACAATATACGGTTTTGCCACTCTACAGAGTGTCTTAAACTTATCGTCACCTGAGAATTATAGTGTTCTATCTGCATTTTCTTTTTTTTATTCAGGTTAATCTTGTTTTAAGTATTAAAGATGGAAATTGTTCTATCTATATATAATTGGGGTAGAAATTGTACAGTTTAAGCCTTAAACTTTACAATTTCTACCCCAATTATATATAGATAGATCAATATCATCTTTAAGACTTAAAACAAGACTAACCTGAATAAAAAAAAGAAAATGCAGATAGAACACTATAATTCTCAGGTGGCGTTATGGTAAAAAACATCTTTTTGTTTAAACCTGTATATTATAAACGTACGTCTATTTTTTAGTATTTTTTTTTTAAATGTGAGCGATTGTCCATTAATTTATCTACAATATTCTTTAATATTCGTTTAAATCCGACATCAAATAAAAAAGTTATTTGCGATTGAAATTCATCGAAAATTTGTGTGGATCGATTATTTTGCACGTGAGTGTAGTTGGAGTGGTTTTTCTAATAAGTTTGTTTAAGTCAATTTTCTATAATTTGTTGGAAACAGTAAGATTTTATATTTAACCATTTGCACAATAGATTGTCTTTTGCACAATTTTTTAAATAATTCGTTTAAATGTAGTATAATTTGAGTTAAAATAAAAATTTTACAATATTGGACAATTTTTTTGGGTATGAAGTAACCTTCACCATAATACCATCTAAGATAACCAATGAAATGATTTCCCGCTTGAAATAAGCTCAACTGCAATCTGCATCATCAGTTTGCAGTTTTAGTTTGTGTTAGGAAGTGTATCATTGTGAGGTTAGTACCACATTTCTGGAGTGTAATTATTGAATATTATTTTTCCGAATATGATAAATCAATAATTATGACCATGGTGATCAAATGAGGATAAAAAGTGTTTCTATGTTCCAACTGTGCTACATTATTGATCGGCTTACTATTTACTTTAGTTTGTAATTTATATTTATTTTATGTTTTCAGTTTATATTAACTTAATTCTATCCTTACAAAATTTTAGTGTTGGTCGCTGAATACATATTTAATCTATCGACATTTGTACTATTACACACTGTGTGATACACAGTACGACAAAATTTGATTTTTTTCCCTCCAATGAAAAATTTTTAGATTTTGAAAATAGACTTAGACCAATAAAATGTTATCCACGGTATTCGGCACATAATATAACAGATTCGATAACAGCTGGACAGTATATTTTTATGAAAAATTTATTCACTGAATAAATGGGCAACCATTAAGATTATTTATTTATTTTAAAATTATTTTAATTATATACAGGGTGTTGCACATTTACGAAATACGGGTGTTTCACGTTCGTGGTCCATTGAGAGTTTCTGAGGAACGGCAAAAGATATCAACAAAATGCCACTTTCGGCTTGACCGGAAGTGACATCAACTTTGTTATTTTAAATGGAACACCCAATATATTTTTACATTTTTAAATTCTACATAAATTTTTGAGTAAAATTACTGTACCATGTCCTATACCTAGAGTAAATAGTTTTGGAGTTATTATTTTTTTTCCTTAAAATATGACAAATGCGCGTCAACCAAAAATAGCCTATAACTTTCTTGCTATTAGGTTTGCAGAAATGGTGGTGGAATTTTTGGAATCTTAAAACATTGTTTCAAAGATTCTATGAATGTAAATTCCTTAACATACCGGTCAAACCGGAAGTGGCATTTTGTTTAAAATATTTAAAAAATAGACTTAATGGATTATAAACGCTTTTAATTTTCAAATCGATATTTTTTCCGTTTCCCAGAAACTTCCAATGGACCACGAATGTGAAACACCCTGTATATGAAGTGGTGTTTTTAGGTTGTGATACCACTATAGATTCGAAAGAAATGTATAATAGTCAAACTAAAAGATTAAGATTTATTTTCAACGTATGTTTAATATAAGATAAATACAAATCTGTTGTAGTATTAAAAAAAATTAAAAATTAAAAAAAAAAATTGTTATTTTTGTATTATGTAAAAACATAAAATATTTAAAGAAAAAAAATGAATTATAACAAAATAGAGAATTAAAAATCTGTTTGGATTAAAATAATAAGAATGGCTGTGTAAAAAAATTAAATGACGTGATTTTGTGAAACGGTGAGATACTGGTACGTTTTTTTAACGTTTTTAAAGTCTGTTAAAATTTTTCATGGGGAGAAAATCGTGTTGTACTGAGGTATAAGTGGAGACGCACTTCATGTTGAAATATATCTCAATATTATTAGAATTAGCTATACGAATTTTATTTTTCAGTTTGTATACAAACTATAGTTTATGTTCTGTTATATTTATTTTATGTTTGTCAGTGTCACTTTATATTATGTTTTAGGCATCTTAATTAATAATTTAGTTTCATTCTCCTTTTTACCTCCAAAATTATTAAAAATTTTAAACAAATTGGAGAAATTATTATTAAACAATGGTGTGTTCCAATGTGCCACAATTTGTGCAATTTTAAAATATTACATTAAAAAAGTCTCTAAAATATTCATTTACTTACACAAATTATATATGAGGCGATTAGACTAAAATATGTTTAAGTTTTTAATATAATAAGTTTACTTCAATTATTTGCTGCAATTTTGCACAAATTGTTTCTGTCACTTTTTTAGCACCAATTTGTTGAACAAATTCAATACAATTATGAAACCAAATCCAACAATTTTTTCTCTTCTAGCTTGCAAGCTATCTAAAATCTTGATATTCTTACCGGACATTCTAACAGCTTCTCCACTCTTTTTTCAGGGTCATCCTTTCTATTCCTTCTGACCAAAAGGTAAATCTTCTGGACCTCGGTGGACCGCAAAAGTTTTTCCAGGATGAGTTTTCCCAAGAAACCAGTGGCGCCGGTGAGTAGCACACATTTTTCCTTGTAGAAATCTTGAATATCGCTTAAATTTCCCTGATCCATGTTTGGTTTACACTATTTTACAACGAATTCCAAAAAATAACTGCGATCAAACAATTGAATTGAAAATTATTAATTAATAATTTATGAGGTGTTTATACGCATTTCGAATATATTAATAAGGTTAAAAGGGTAGGTATATACGCAAAAGGATTAAACATAAAATTATCATGGGCAGTATTATCGTATGTATTTTTTTACGTAATCCTAAAAACAAGAAGTATTGGTTTACCTATGCATTAATTTGTTTACATGGAAATATGACATCAAACTGTTAAAAATGTTTGTCATTATTGGAATATAAATTTATTTATACAGTGTCCTTTGTTTAATAATAATGTATTGTAATATAATATATATATATTGGGTGCGGAATTGTGCGTATACACTATTTTTTTAATTGTTTAAAAATTCGGTACTTTAATTGAAGTTTTTGAGTTGTGTGACATTTAATTTTGGAGCCATTCCAAATAAAAACATCAAAAATTTAGATTTTGATAAAAAAATGAGGATGATCTCTTAGGTATATAATTTTTCGTATTTACTATCAACTACCCCAGTACACAGTAAAAAAAAATCAACTCTAAGCAACACTAATTAGAGTTCACACAGGTCCACACTAAATAGTGTTGTTTTATAACACTACAATTAGAGATAATTTGTAGTGTAATTTTCTCCAAGTAAGCAAGTATGATTTAACACTATAGCACTGAGGATAAAGTAATTTTACACTGTATTAAAAAGTGTTAATTTACCTAAAATCGTGTACTTCTAACTTCCTGGATAAAATCCCATTTTTGTTCAGTGTAAATTAACACTACTTTGGAAAAGTTCCAATTTTAGAAGTGTAAAATAACACTATTATTTGAGTAAAACATATTGGTGGTAGTGAATAAAACGAAAAGGTAAATAAAGAGAAACATTTATTTGGAACAAAAATCTATGACAATTATCAAAATCGGTGCCTTTTAAAATATAACTTTATATTTGAGTCGTATGGCTGGCTTAAGCAAAATGGTTCCTTAAAACGTAAAAGTTTTAGATCAATGCAATGTTTTACTGGCTGTCAACTTGTAAGCAATGAATTATCTTGAGAATTCATCAGTAATCCATTTTTCTGTTATAAAAAATGGGTGATCCCATTGGTAGAGAGGCTTCAGGCGGCTGTATGTCGGGGATTTACCACACGTGTACAAATTTTCCATAATATTAATAAAAATGTAGGTATAGGTTAATATAACAACCATTACGCTTGAAAATAAAAAGTAAATCAAGTGTGTATGTATTTATATTATTATAATAATAATAATAACATTATAATGTTACAAGTACCCGACCTACTGCTGTTAATTATTGATATATAATATAGGTCGGGTATGGACATCCTTTTAACATATTGGTATTTATTAAGTATTAAGGCTTAAAGAAAAAGGAAGTATAATACTTACCAAAAAATAAGAATGTCCCCTTATGGATTCACCGTAATTAAAATCTAACTGAACAAAAATGCGACACTTCCACAACGCGGTATCTCCGTATATGCACTGCGTAGGTAGGTACCAACCAAACAGTTTAAAATTCATTTCGGTTATTACCAGTCTATTTTCAGTCTATTTTGCCACTATTGGTTTAATTTAACTTTAATACAATGTGCACTAGTGGTGTAAAGAAAAAAGAGCTCTTAGTAACATCAAAACAAACAAAGAAATTGGCATGCACTGTAGTGTACATTTACAATCTGTAAGCATGGCAAATGCGTCTGGCAGGTGAAAAACTGAACATTATTTTTCAGTTTTTTACCTGCCAGGCGCATTTGCCATGCATACAGATGACTGACTTTTTTTAATGAACTTTAGTACACCTTACAATTCACAAATTGTGGATTGTGGTACACCCCTTGCCACTAAAACCATTTTTATCAGTGAAGAAAAACCCATCGGAAAACCCAATTAATTTCATATATACAGGATGTCCCAAAATCACCGATACAAAAACAAAAGAATAAGTAAAAAAAATCACAGCTTAGACACAGTAAACTACTTACAGAACAAACCACGCTAGCGTAGAAAAAGAAGTGTTCTTTGGTGGGAAATAGAACATGAGATAACCTAAAATGAATGGCTTCCAACTTGATAAATGCAAAATTGACATAACATTGATAGTTTTTATTATCACCATCAATAATACTAGATATTAATAAATGAAATTTTGATTGTTTTTAAAGTTTTTTCACTAATAATATTTAAATAAATTATAATTTCACTCTATTTAAGCCTTTTATTTTATTTATTTATTTTTATATTGTTGGTACCGTTAATCATATGGCAAGTAATATACTTAAAATCTTTGAATTACCTTTAGTTACATTCTTGGTACATTTACATTAGATGTTTGTTGCAAGTACTTATGTCATGTTATAGGTATGTAACAATACATCGATGTGCAATATTAAAAAATAATATATCGGCAATATACCTGGTATGTTTTCAACGAGATGTATTTATGCGACCTAAACAGAACATCGCACGAGCTCGCGTTATGTATCGTGCTAGCTGGGACATTATATAACCGATATTGGAAATCCGCTTTGGCCCGAAGTTGTTTTAAATTATATTCTAGGAAAGTTGAGGGAGATATTGAAGGAAAAAAAATATAGCCACCTAGTACTTAGTACGTAGTAGGTTTTCTAAAAGTGATATGTCACGATCAGTGCCGGCGTGAGGCGTGTGCAAACGGTGCGGTTGCACCCGGCCCCGCGCAAATAAAGGTGTCTTAACTAGGGGTGTCAATCCCGGGATCCCGAAATCCCGGGGTCCCGGGATCCCGTAAAAAATCCGATCCCGAAAATCCCGGGATTAAAAGTCCCAATCCCGGGATCTTAGTAATAAGTTACAAAGAATAAAATAGACTTTTTTTTAAGCGTATAACATTTTTCATATTATAATACTCATAAGCATATATATAAACACTTCATTTTTTTTACTCAGTTCAAGTCAAATTATTATACACCGCCGTACAATAATGAAAATACATTGAAATTACATAGCAAGAGTGGTGTCATCTATAGCATAAAATCAGCAAAGAAAATGTAAAATTACACCTAGGTCACTGTAGAATAAATTTATGTACACAACCTATAATATAACATATTTTAAACGTCAAACCTGAAAAAATGTCACAAAGTTGATAATTTTAATGTAAGTTACAGCCCCAATTGGAACTCACCAAGGCCCGATTGATAAAAGAAATGGAATTATTTGTTAATGGGGGTAAACGTGGGTACAATGTGCAGGCCTACGAATTCTTGAAAACCATCCTTCCGACTAGTGTGAAGTCCGAAAGATATCGTTCGTTAGCTTGTTTGTTGTTTTATTTTAAATTGGTTTTAAAATTAATGATGTATTTTTTTCGGGACTGATCCCGGGATCCCGGGATTAGTTACCTTTGGTCCCGAAAGGCCCGGGATTGGAAAATGGGCTCGGGATTGACACCCCTAGTCTTAACGAAATTATTTTACATTTTAGCAACATGGCAAGCTATAAGCACAGCCCGACAAAATAATATCTGGTAATTGCCAGAGATAATATCTTTAGTAGGTATCGTCATCTATTATCATTCAGTTCAATGTTGCTAAATGTGTATTTGAAGTTGCCTGTATCCGTTTAAAACAATTATTATTACGCCGGGAAAAGAGTTTTTTAAAATATTAATTAATAAATTATATTTAAGATTTAGAAGGTATGTGCCAAGAACGACTAGTGGGTTTGGCTATATTGTCAATAGAGAAGGATGTTGGAAAAGAGCTTCCCCTAAAGCAGGGAAAAATAATGTGTGATTTTTTCTTAAACGTTAATTTCTATATTAATTGAAGGGAGAAGCTGAACCACCCAAGTGAATTTTCTACTATCCGGTAACACGCTTAAAAAATTTTGACCTAAAAATGCACTTGGGAGGTTTCAGCTCTAATTCCTTCAATTGGGTTTTCGTTTGATGTTTTATTGGTTTATTGCCGCTAAGCGCTATGATAATTTTCAAGAGTAAATTTTTAGTTTGTTTCCAGGAAATAGGTACTTAGGGGCGTAGAAGCGGGGGGGGGTGACAATGCCACCCAAATGATAAGGGGCGAGGGGGGGTTACTTGATATAAAATGTACTCTCCAAATTCTTTGAAAATATCTACCAATAGGACAAGTCGTGTACCGTTTATGTTATTCTTAATTACGATGAAATGCTAAAAGACGCGCCGCGCCGCATATAGGACCAATATTTTGTGCTACTGGGGTACAAACCTGAAATCTGAAATTGTGTTGGGCTTTTTTCTATCACAATTTTTTTCTATTTGATTTTACTAATCGTGTTTTCATTATTTATTGTAAAAATCATATTTTTTCTACTGTTTTATAGTTTGTAGTAAAATTTAAGATAAATTAAATATATTTTAAAATAAAATCACTCAAATATTTGATTCAGGAGTTGTGACACGCCAAGGTACTGATGTTTTGAATATTTATTATGTTTTTTTACAAACGTGCTTTTGAAAAAATACATTAAAATTGGGTGGACAAGTTAAAAAAACCTGGATCTTTTGTAATATACTAAAATATTTATAAAAAATATTAAAATACCCACTCTATTGACTGATGACATCAAGTTGTCCAACTTTTTCTGAAAAATTAAAAAAGCCTATTTTAGGCTCATAAATCAAAATTTCGCCATTTTAGGCTTTTAGGCAAAAACAAAGGGGTGTCAAATGCTTTATTTTTTTAAGTTTAGGATTAATTTCAAGGTCCCAAACAAATGCCAAAAATAGAATTAAAAAGGCATTTTGCCTAAAATCCGGTCCTTGCTTATGAGTGTTATAATACGTATTATAATATAAAAATTGTTATACCTACGCTTAAAAAAACAAATTATATTTAAATTTTTTTATTAACAAATTTATACACAAAACACCCAATTTTAATTGGTGTTAAAACAACGTTATAAACATAATCTTAAAAAAATAATACATAAAAATAATAACCAAACACATGGAAA